GGAGGGGAGGGAAGATTGACCCTAACCCATCCTTACCCATCTCCCACAGCGGAGGGTGCGAACTCGGGGGGCCCGTTCCTGTGCGGCGCACTGGAGACGTCCGTGGTCCTGCTTCAGTGGTACCAGCCCATGAACAAGTTCCTGCTGGTCCGGGTAGGGGGGCTGTCGAGGCTGGGGACTCTGCGAGGTTGCATGCTAGGGCCTTCCACTTGTTACGCTTCTGCTGAGAGTTTCATGAAGCCCGGCTTCTACCCGAGGCCCCGCTCCAATCTCCCCCGAGGCCCCGCCCACCTGTGGTCGGCGCCAGAGGCTCCGCCTTCTGAGAGCTTCCGGATCCTTAAGCTCCTCCTCTCACTCCAGCCTAATTATCCTTCAGGCCGTATGCCCCATTCCTCGGGTCTCTAAGGGGACCCCGCTGAGATCCTTTGACTCTAAGGAGACTTTGCTGCCTGTGAGGTCACGCCCCTCAAGGGACCCCGCCTCGCTGTCATTAAGGCGGCACGCTCCAAACAAGGCACGCCAACTTTGAGCCACGTCCACCCATTTCTGAGGAGGCATCACCTCACGCTTCTGGGGCCTTACCCCCTGAAGTTTCTAGGTGCCATCCCCCAAAACCGAGGGCCCAGGAAATATACTTGGGAAGCTCCCTGCAGGCTCTCCTCCCAGGCCCCTCCCCTCTCAGGCCCCGCCCCACGACTCTGAGTCCGCCCCTCCCTGTGCGGCCTGCAGCAGGTGCTGTTCCCGCTACCGACGCCCCTTCCAGTGTTCGCGCTACTGACCGGGCCGGGCTCCGAGCTGCCCGCCGTCTGCATCGGCGTGAGCCCGGGGCGGCCGGCGAACTCGGTGCTCTTCCACACCGTGCGCTTCGGTGCCCTCTCCTGCTGGCTGGGCGAGATGAGCACAGGTGGGTGGGGCAGGCTCGCTGGGGGCGGGGCTGCTGGGAGGGGGTGGGCTGGGCGGCTGGGCTGTGCTTAGCCTGCGATGTAACTGGGGTAACTGGGAAAGGGATTGCAGCTGGGGCGAGGGGAGAGAGGTGGATACGTACAGCCGGTGAGATTGAGGACCCGTCGGGACCGCTGTGATGGGCGGGGTTTAGCTGGGGAATGGAGAGGGTGCCTAGCGGAGGAAGGCAGAAGCAGGTGGAATTGGTCTTTGAACCTCTCTGCCTGTCAAACAGAGCACAGGGGACCGGTGCAGGTGACCCAGGTAGAGGAAGACAAGGTGATGGTGTTGATGGACGGTAAGGACCCTCCTCCCAGTCTTTTCTCCACTGTTCCTGGATCTTGGCTTCGCAGACCCTGTGCTTCTCAGAAATGCTGAGCCCCTCCGGGCCTTGCCCTTGTCCTGCTTTGCTTCTCAGTGAATTTATTGTACAGTCTCTCAGCATCCTTCTGAGCCTCACTCTTACAGCCCTCTCTCTACCCTCTTCTAGGGTCTCTGAAGCTGGTGACTCCGGAGGGAGACCCAGTCCGGGGACTTCGAACTCCAGAGATCCCTATGACTGAAGCAGTAGAGGCCGTGGGTACGTGCAGGGATGGGAGGGCCCCCGGTCCAGAATGGAGGCTCAGTGATACCCAAGCGTAACAGGCACTGCTTGTCTCCCAGCTATGGTCGGGGGCCGGCTCCAGGCCTTTTGGAAGCATGGAGTGCAGGTGTGGGCTCCAGGCTCAGACCAGGTAAGCTTCATCCCAGTGCCCACAACTCCACTCCCTCCCCATCAGGCATCCAGTTCATCAGATGGATCAGGGGAATTGAGTCAGGGTGGGAAGCCCTGACTAGAAGCTTCCTCCAGTCTCAGTTCAGCCAGGTCCCCTTCTATACCCCAGGGTCTCTTGGATCTAGAGCTCATTCCAGGCCACTGGGGGATCTTGTGCGAGAGAGTCTACTCTCTCTGAACCTCAGTCTCCAACTATAAAATGGGGGTCGCTAGAGAGAGATGTGGGTGGTTAAGAACATGAACAGACGGGCTGGGTTGGAACCAGCTGATTGGCCTCAAGCAAATGACTTAACATTCCCATGCATTACTTTCCCCATCCGGAAAATGGAGCGAAAAATGGTCCTTAGCTCATAGATGTGTCAGATGCTGCCCATACGTGTTTGTATTTAATCTTCACCATCACATATGAGGAAGGTCCTGTGACTTCACAGGTTAGTAATCTGAGGCACAGAGAGGAAAAGTAACTTGTTTGGGGGGGTCACACAGCTGGTGAATGGTGTCGACTAGAATTATTTCTGGATCTAAGACTAAAAGTTTAGAGACCTCTCCCCCACCCCCGTTCCCTTTAAAGGGAAAGGGGAAGAGTCTTCTAGATACTGAAACACACACTTTTCCCCCAGCTGTTGCAGGAGCTGAGAGACCCCACCCTCACCTTCCGTCTTCTTGGCTCCCCCAGGTATGGACTTAAGGAAGGGGAACACGGAACTGGGGAGGGGGGCTTCCAATTTGGAGAGGTGTCTTGAGGTCTCTCTAACCGCCTGTATCTTTGGCCTGGACGTTCTCTCTCTTGGTCTCCCTGCTTCTATCTCTGTGCCTTATTCCCCACACGGCAGCCAAGGGGACGTTTTTATTTTTTTAATTTTAATTTCCACTTTTTAGTTTGACCTAACTTTAGACTCACAGAGAAGTTGCAAAAAGAAATTTAAAAATTCTTGTATCCCCTTCATTCATCCAGTTGCTCAGATGTTAACTTTTTGGTTGGTTTTTGTTTTTGTTTTTCTTTGTGTGTGTGTGTGTGTGTGTGTGTGTGCGCGCTTTGTTTTTATCACGTATATTTTATCCTCTTTTGTATGTGTGTCATTTTTTTTCTATTTGGGTATGAACTGTTTCCTAAGTCCAAGCAAAGACATATTCTTACAGACCACAGTGCAGCTGTCAAAATCAAGAAAATAACCGCAAGACATCGCTACCTTGTAACCCACATACCCGGTCTCACCGGTTAGCCCAATGATACTCTTTATAACCAAAAAAATAATACTTTTTTTTTTTTTCTGGTCCTGGAGGCAATTCAGAATGATGGGTTGCATTTAAGAGTGGTGTTTCTTTAGTCTTTAGCCTGGAACAGTTCTTCAGGTTCTCTTTGTTTTTCGTGACCTTGATACTTGCGAAGAGTACAGGAAGGTTGTTTTCCAGAATGTCCCTCAGTTGGGTTTGAGGTTTCCAGGTTAAGCATTGTGGGGGCAGGGGTACCGCAGAAGTGACGGCGGGTCGTCAGTCCATCATATCATGTCAGTTTGTCCCAGGACTGGTCGTGCCATCTTTGAACATTTGGGGAAGGTGGGGGGAGTCCGGTTTCTCCACTGTAAGTTACTTTTGTGCTTAAAAAAAAAAGTATCTTTTGCGGTGATTTGCTGAGACTGTGTAATTCTACTGTTTCTATCAGACTTTTGCTCACGGCTTTTAGTATCTATTATTGATTTTTGCCTGAATATATTTTTAGGATAGTTACCCAGTGGTGATTTCCTATTTCTGCACTCATTAGTTGGCATGCTACTGTGGGGGAAACGGTCCTTTCTCTACCACGTATGTATGTATGTGTGTATTTCAGCACAGTCTCCTGGATTTCCATTTTATTCTGTGGGTTACAATGTATATTAGTATCATGATTATTAATTTCGAGGCACGAGAACTCCCAGATTTAGCCAGTGAGGGCCCCTTCAAGGATCTCTTGCAGCCTTTGGACATCCAGAGCGGTCTTTTAAAATCTAAATCCGGGGCGCCTGGGTGGCGCAGTCGGTTAAGCGTCCGACTTCAGCCAGGTCACGATCTCGCGGTCCGTGAGTTCGAGCCCCGCGTCGGGCTCTGGGCTGATGGCTCAGAGCCTGGAGCCTGTTTCCGATTCTGTGTCTCCCTCTCTCTCTGCCCCTCCCCCGTTCATGCTCTGTCTCTCTCTGTCCCAAAAATAAATAAATGTTGAAAAAAAAATAAAAAAAAAAATCTAAATCCGATTGTGTCACTCTCCCCATTTAAACTCTCCCGTTAAATACCAAATCCTGGCCACAAGATAAATACGAGATAAATACCCCATCCTGGCCACAGCGCACAAGACTTTGACTTCTGCAGCCAAGCCCCAAGCTCTCCCCCACCTCAAAGCCTTTGCATAGGCTGTTCTCTGTGTCCAGAACACCTTTCCTTGACTTTTCACCAAGCTCCCTCCCTCCTGAGCCTCTTTCGGGCTCCACCCGCTATTCTTCGGGGCACGCTGGCCAGCCCTTTGGGATAGGTTTCCATGCAATGTGTTCCGTTACATGAGTGGTCTGCAGTCATGTTATTCACTGATTCATGCTGGTCTTCGTTTTGGCCTCCTCAAGGGCAGAGACTGTCTCTGCACGTCACTGCAAGAGTCCAGAACTGTGCTGGCACAGCCTCTATTAACTCCTTTGTGAATGAATGAATGAATGAATGAACTGACTTCTCTCCTCCTTCCCCAGGCCTGTGGTGGTGGAGACACGCCCAGCAGATGATCCTACTGCCCCCAGCAGCCTCTACATCCAGGAATGAGTCTCGGGGGGGGGGGGGCGGTTAGGAACCAGTCCCTGCACCCCACTCCCCAACGGACAGACATTAGTGATCATGACATGCACTTGTCTCCCAATAAACATGGCTCCAGCCTCTGCTGCCATCTTGCTCTTCAAGGGGGAAGGGGAGGGGAGAATTCCCGGATGCCCACCCATACCTCAAATGTCAACGATCCAGCACAACGACGTCAGGAGTGTAGCACAGACTTTATTTCTCCAGTACATGGTCACCTGTCCCCCAGCTGCCGTTGGGGGCGGGGTTTGGGACTAAGGGACTTGCCGTGAGTACAAGGCACTTGAGGCGGGGGCGAAGGGCCAGCTGGGGGTGTCTCAGCCAAGCTGGTCCTCGTACTGCTTGCGGAAACAGTCGCCAGCTGGGAAGAAATCCCAGCATCTCTCTTGGTACATCTTCCAGACGTAAGACTCCTAGGATTGGGGCATGGGGAAGAATTGGTCACATCTTCAAAAGCTCATGTTGCCATGAGCTTTTTACTGCCACCTGCTGCTTGACCTTATATTAAAATTCTCCATGTCCCTGCCCACTGTCCTCCCATTAACACCCCCTTACCTGGCCCGTGTGTTCTGTCTCATCCTTATTTATCAGATACATCAGGAAAAACCTGGGGATGGAAGGGCAGTGGAGACAGGTGAGGACTACCCTAACTTTCTCCTGACTGGCTCGGAATCCACCCACTTGGATGCCACACCTAACTGGCCAATGCCCATTCCCCCCCACCTCGCTGTCGGCCACACCCCCATCCCTTGAATGGTCAATGGACCTATGCTCACATGTAATTGGCCAGGTTGTGCTCCTCTAGAGTGTGGGTCTCAAACCCGTGTGGTGTCGTATCGAAGTAATCGCTGCCGATGCCGCAGATGAAGCACTTGGTCTGTGGGTGGTGGGAGACATCAGAATCCGGGCCCATTCGTCCCCCAGCCTCCCATAATCCCTCTGGGTCACCCCCAGACTTGACCTACCTCCATATCTTCCTTCACTTGCTCTTGTTGGTCTCGGAGCTCGCCAAAAGCGTCAATGATCAGACCTGCGGTGGCAGGTGCAGGTCAACGCCCAACCTCTGACCCAGCTCGGGCTCCTCCCTCTTCTGGCTACCTACCTCGGAGCCTTGCCCCCCCATCCTCCTTCTCCCTAATCTCACCCTGCTTCCTGAAGATAATAATACCTAGCATTTATTGAGCACTTATTATGGGTAAAACACCTAGGAATTGACTTAATTTTCATCATAACCCTGCGAGGTTAGTATCATTAATAGCCCCATTTTACATATGGAGAAACTGAGGCCCAGAGAGGCGACTTGCCGAAAGTCTCACAGTAGGAAGAGGCAGAGGCAGAGCCAGGATGTGAATCCGGGCAGACTGGATTCTGGGCCTGCACTCTTAAAGGAGCTAGTCTGCCTCTGGGCACTGAGCCCCCACTCGCACAACCACGACCAGCACTGACCCTGGATGATGGCCAGCAGGATGACGATGACAAAGAAGAAGAAGGTGATGTCGAAGACCACCCGGTACAGCTCGTATTCGTCGCCTGCCGGGTCCTCAATCTCATCCCCGATGCCCCCACCAGCTCGGACACCCACGTACATGTGAAACAGGTAGCACTGTGGGGGAAGGGAGAGAAGCCTACCGGTCATGCGCTCCCTCATTCAACATCCGCCAAGTACCTCCAAGGCCCTGGGCTGAGGGGGCAGGAGACGTAGCAGTGGCTGAGACAGTTCTGGGCCCTGGCCTCACAGGGCTCACAAACATGTCATCAGATAGTGACAGCCCAGAAGTGATCATGGCTGTGATAGGGAAAGCACAGGCAGAAAGGGCAGAGCCAGGGCGGGGAAGCACAGTGTGATCAGGGGGCAGGTGGGGGAAGCACAGGAAGCTTTGAAGTTTCAAAGGCTGACTCAGCCAGGGTGATCAGGCGAGACTTCCCTAGAAGAGGGGACATGTGTGAGCTGGGACTCGAAGGAGGTGTTAGGTGGGAGAAAGTGTTCCAGGCAGAGAAAACCACACGTGTTTTGACACCGCTGGGGAGCAAAGAATACACTGTGTTCCTGGGAGGAACTGAAAGAGGTTCGGTGAGGTTAGAAAATAGAGCTCCTGTGAGAAAGAGCAGGGAGAGAAATGAGGCCCAGCCAATGGTTAGGGAGGGCTTCCTGTAGGAGGCAGCATTTAAGTTGAAAGGTGACGTGTCAAGTGAAAGAGGGGCGTGTCCGTGGGGCCCGTGGTGGAGGATGGAGAGCATGTCAGATGCAAAGGGCTTGGGTGGGAGGAAACACATGGTCTTAGGGGAACTGAAAGAAAACAGGCAGCCAGGCAGCCCAAAGCAAGAAAGACTGTGGAGACTCGGGCAAAGCTAGCTCTTCCCTGGCTTCGGACGCCATGGTGAGGGATTCAATGTTACCCCGTGGCATTGGGGAGCTACGAGAAGGCTCTGAACAGGTAGGAGGGCACGGTCTGCGTGGCACTTGGGAAAGAAAGACTTTACGCCTGTTCTTTCTGTGTCCCCAAGAAGTGAGAGCTCAAAGTTGTCTTGGTTAAGAGCCGAGGCCAGTGACTGGTGAGAAGAGGGCTATGGGTGTCAGGACTAGGTCTGGTGGGGCCTCAAATGTCAGGCTGAAGAGCCGGACTAGGTCCTGAGAACGTGGTGCAAGATTACAGGACATCTTGTGAGATGAAGCCTTGAGACAATTCTTCCAACCGTGGCCTGTGCCTCTAGTAAGGTCAGCTCCACCTGGGTTATGACCACCGTTCTCAGAATAGAAGAGAAAGTATAAACAAGCATGACATGCTGGTACTTGGGGTGAAATTTATATGTGTGTATTTTTAAATTTTTTAAAAGTTTATTTATTTTCAGAGAGAAAGATTGAAAGAGAGGCGGGGGGGGGGGGGGGGGGGGAGAGAGAGAGAGAGAGAGAGAGAGAGAAATCCCAAGCAGGCTCCATGATGCCAGCGCAGAGCCCAGTGTGGGGCTTGAACTCTCAGACTATGAGATCATGACCTGAGCTAAGATCGAGTCCGACGCTTAACCTACGGAGCCACCCAGGCGCCCCCATGTTTCTTTCTTTCTTTTTTTTTTTTTTTAAGTAATCTCTACGCCCAATGTGGGGCTTGAATTTACAACCCTGAGATTAAGAGTCGCATACTCGGGTGAGACTTTTATAGAGAACGATGAGAGTAGCTAACACCTATGTAATCCTTAATACACACCAGGCACCATTGTAAGACTTTTAAGGGAGCTACACTGGGTCCTAAAAGCAGCCCTAGGCTGTAGGCACTGTTGTCACACACCCGTTTTACAGGGGAGGAACACCAGAGCGTGAGTAGGTTGACTGGCCTGCCCCAAATCACATGCTTTGTAAGCGACAGGGGCACCGTGTCTGAGCACCTTGCCGATAACAATAGCTTTAAAGGCTCAAATAACATGCCGACGGGGGCTGACGCTCATTGAGCACCAATCACGTGCCCGGCACTGTTCAAAGTACCTCATGGAACCCTCACAGTAAGTCTACGAGGTGGGAACTACCATCAGCCCCCCGTACAGACGGGAACACTAAGGGTCAGATGGTCAGTGACCAGGCCAAGAGTGCTGGGGGAGGGGCTCACCGTCATCATGTCGTCACACTTCATGTCGGGCTCGTCCTCATCCTCACTCTTGTTGTAGAACTTGCGGAAGAAGTTGAAGGCCACCACGGTGTACAGGTAGACCACCACCGCCAGGAGGCCCACGGTCATCACCAGCTGGGGGTGCGCAGGGGGCTGGTCAGCTCCACGCTTGGCCGCCCCCCACCCCCACCGTCCTCACCCCCAGTCGGTCAATGTGGTCCTCCCTCCGGGGTCTCACTACCCACACCCACCCTGGCTCAGCCCGCCCAGCCTTGCCCTTCCTCACCGGAGCTGCCCGACCCTCACCCCTCCACCCCTACTCAGGCTGCCCAGCTCATCCCTGCCTGGTTCACACCCCCCAGGCAGGCCCCCCGCCACACCTGCTTCCCATTATGGGTGACGGAGGACAGGATGGTGCGCAGCGTCTTGACCCCCATGGCAATGTCCAGGAGGTGGGCCGCAAAGAAGAAGTTGTTGTAGTGTCCCAGGAGGGACATCACCATGTACCAGCCCAGGTATAGGAAAGACTGTGGGCACACAGGGTCAGGGGTCAGGGAGCGTGCAGGATTCCTGGGGAACACTCCTGAGGGGAGTGTTCATGAGGGCCAAGGAGCACTTGGGGGGGGGTAGGGAGCACTCCGGGAACAGGGGGTCCAGGAACATTTGAGTGGCATGGGAGTGCTCTGGGAGTCACGATACCATCTCTGCCTAGGGAGCATCTGGAGGATTGGGAGCACTCTGCAGTAATGGAGCACTCTGGGTGAGAAGCCATCCTAAGGGTAGCTGGGGAGCCCTCTGCTGAAGGATACAGACTGAGAATTCAAGAGCACCTGAGGGACAAGGGGCTTCGGGGTATCATAGGACCAGAGGTGCATGGGGGCTCAGGAGTCGGTCCCTGGTCAGGGATACCTGGGGGTGGAGCCCCCGGCCCTCCCAAGGCCCTCCTCCCGCAGCCCACCCCCCACCTATGAGCCCCTCCTCACATTGTCTGTGAAGATGACCCCAAACTTCCAGATCTGGTACTTGACGTCAATGGACATGAGCCTATGTGGGGTGGGAGGAAGAAGGACGGGCGGATGCCTGAGAGGCTCAGTCCCTGGCCACCTTCCCTGATGGCCCCAGGCCTGTACAGGATGGCCCCTGGCTTACCAGGTGAGCAGCCCCGGTGGTGGTTCAGGCTTACGCTCGTTGTGGGCTGTGATCTCCAGCGTGGCCAGATCCATGCCCAGCAGTTCGGCGATCCGCTCCCGCCCATAGATGTCCCCATGCTTGTCCAGGACCTGTACCAGGGATTGTGGGGACATGGGGACGTGGCTGGGGTGGGGGAGGGCATAGCCTGCATGGGGCATTCTGGGGACACTCTGAACATTGTGTGAGAAATTGGGCTTGCATTTTTCTAGGGACAAGGTTCAGAGCTTTCTTCAGATCCTCAGGGGGAGGGTCCAAAAGTGATAAAGTTTCAGCTGATTCATTAACCAAATTAATAGGGATAATTTATTATTATTAAGGTGGTAGCGAAGGAATCCCATATAATTGGGTCTCTGCCATCAGTGAATTCTTCTCCCACTCACCCCCCTCATTCACTCTGCTTCAGCCACACAGACCTCTTCGCAGTTCCTCAAATATACCAGACACATTCCTGCCTCAGGGCCTTTGCACTGGCTATTCCTCTTGCCTAGGACACTCTTCCCCCAGATTTCTACTTGACTCACTCCTTTACCTCATTAACTAGTGTGCCCTTTCCTGCCTGCCGGACATGAGAGAGCAACCTCTCCTGGCCAGCGCGCGCACACACAGACACACACACACACACACACACACACACACACACACACACCCTCCCCACCCCCCGTCACTGCTTTTTTCTTGTACAGCACTTATCACCACCTAAACCCTATATATGTGCTCATCATCTGTGTTGCCAGCTTGAGTGTCAGAATCACTGTTGTGTTTACTGTTGGATTCCTGGCACATGGCAGGTGCTTGATAAATGTCTGTTGAGTGAATGAACGATGGTAACAGGCGACGTTTGTCTACTTTCCCTATGTGCCAGATACTGCTCGTGTCGTAGGCCACAGAATCTTTACAACCACCCTGTGGGGTCAGTCCTATTACTACCTCACTTTGAATCTTAGGGAAACCGAGGCACAGAAAGGCTGACACAGGAGTAGAAAAGCAGGCAATCCAGCTCCAGAGTCTGTGTGCTTCAAATAATATGCCTCACCTCTTCTCTCTTAACTAGTACTTAACTGAGTACTCATCCTGAGCCAGATACTGTGCTCTGCTCATAACACATATTATGTCATTACGGGGCGGGGGGGGGATTGTCACGCTCATTTCCAGACGGGCAAACTGAGGTACTCCTCAGGGAGCCAAAGCCCCTTGCCCAAGGTCGCACACAAAGCAAGTGCTTGACAGGACTGGGATGGCCAGGTGGCAGCCAGAGAGACCCAGCTTGGGAGACCCTTCCTTCCACCTCCCCATCCACATCCTCACCTTCCGCTTGACAAACTTGTCCCAGTAGTTGCTGGGGAAAGACCTGCCGAGAGAGACAGAGAGACCCCGAGGTGTCAGGGCCAGAAGGACCCGGAGGCACCAGCCGGGCCAGGGTGGTCGGAAGTTCCAACGCTTTTCTCACAGGGGACCCCGCACGGTAGGGTTGCGTCTCACTGGGAGTCAGGCTCCGCAGACCTCATGCCAGGCGAAGTTTTTCCCCGGGTCAACCACTACCCCCACTGCCATCTTTGTGGGGCCCACGGGAGGCAGCGGGCTTGCACCGGGGGCCAGGCAGCTCTGGTGCGTGAAGGGCAGGGCAGAGTCCGAGCCAGCAGCCTGGCCCTGCTCCGGCGGCCAAGGGAGTGATGTGCTCTCTCACCCTGTTTAGGCTTATTGGATGAGTCTGACCCTTTTGTTCCCATTTTTCTTTTTTTTTAAATATATTTTTCACATTTTTATGTATTTTTGAGAGAGAGAAAGAGAGAGCGAGTGAGAGTGAGCAGGGGAGAAGCGGGGGGGGGGGGGGGCACAGAGGATCCCAAGCAGGCTCCGTGCTGACAGCACAGAGCCCGACGCGGGGCTCGAACTCACGAACTGTGAGATCGTGACCTGAGCCACAGCTGGGCGCTCAAACGACTGAACCGCCCAGCTGCCCCTCGTTCCCAGTTTTCTGACTGACAAGTTGATGCCCTAAAATCCTGCAGAGGTGGGCTTGCTGGGAGTTTTGTTGGGTTTGGAGTGGAGACTTATGAATCCAGGGGTTCACGCCTATTTGATGTGTTTCGATTCTTGGCACTTCCCGTCCTTACTGGTGCTCAAATTGTCCCTGAATGGTCCAGCGGGAGCCCCTTCCCCTGGCAGCACGTTTTCTACGGAGCACATCTTTGCTTTCTGACCCAAGGTAATCCAGGCTGATTGCACTTCCCCGCCCCAGGCCTGAAATCTGCCGCTTCTCCAAGGAGCCTGGTTCCTTTTTTTGTGGGAAACGGTATTTAGACGTGGAGGTCCTGGGCGGACCCGGCTTTAAACAGATGTCTCTCCCTCTCTCTCTCCATTAAGCACGTGTGCTTGAATGCGTAGAAGTTCAATGTGCCCTCGATGGTGACGATGAGAGCACAGGACGTCCTTGGTGTGGTTTCTCTCCCTCCTCTCACCGCTTCTCCTGGGCAGGACCCCACAATAAAAGAACTTCCAACACTTATCCAGGGCTCACTGTGCCCCGGAAACCACATGAGTTCGTCTCGTTTCATCGTTACAAGACCCTCGGTGCTATTGTTTGTCCTCATTTTACAGATTAGGAAACTGAGGCACAGAGAGGCTAAATGGCTTGGCCAAGAATCCCTAGCTAGCATGTGGTCAACCCAGGCTGCCTGACCTTGCGTTCTTATTCTAGAGATGATGAGCCCCTGCTGCATGAACACACGAAATTGGACTTGATCGGGGGTGGGAGAGAGGGGGAACGGAGTGGGCTGGGAGGGCGCGGAGGGGGTCCAGAGTCCCACCACACTGCTCTCACACACCCTCGCTCCCTCTCTGGGGTCAATTTAAAAGCAAAATGATTTCCTATTTCCCACTTGTGGCAGCGGGGTAAGAATCACACGTGGGGGCAGGGTTTCAATGCAGGTTCCTGGGCCCCACCCCAGACTCACTGAGGGTCTGGGCCCCAGGGATCCCCATGTGTTACCAGTATCCCCACAGGTACTTTAACACACGGGAGATTTGTCTAAATTATGGACAGGAGGACTAAGGCTTGGGGAGACTGGAGTCAGGACTGGCAGCGACTGGTCTTTTGAGACCGAGGCCCGGCCTGGGGAGGAAACCCAGCTCTGTTCCCACCCCCCACCCCCAGAGGGGAACCGGGCCTTACGGCGTGTTGAGCACCAGTCGGTCCCACTGCCCCTTCACGTCATCGTCCTCAGGCTGTTCCGTGATGTAGAGGCCATCAAACTCCAGCTTCCGGGCCAGCTCCTTCTCCCGTTTAAAGATCACCAGGGGCACCTACATTGTGCAGGCAGGCAAAGGGGTGGGCGTCAGGCTCCCTAGGAGACCACAGCCTCAGCGGGAGCCAGGAGATCTTGCTGGAGCAGGTGTGAGACCCCACGTCAGGGGAGCTTCTCCAGAGCAATCAGGGCAGTAATTGGGGAAAGGTGGGCAGATGGGTCAGGGCTGTGGTGGGAAAAAATCAGGAAAGCCCAGAAGTGGTGCCTGAATCCACGTGCCCCTGTTAGCACCCACGTTACGTCTGAGGCCCCACAGACCCCCGCCGGGCCCCACTAATTCACCAACTGACCAGTATGCAGGAAGTAATATTCCCAGTGAGAAGTTCTGTCTCTTGATCCAGAAATTAACATAGACACAGGACCTGCTCCTCAGCTGTGACCCACATTAGTTCCCTGAATATTAAATATCGTCCTTGCGGAGGCCCCAATCCTGTACCCAGGCCCCCCTTGTCCCAACCACCGAAGGAGATCCCTCCAGCCCCTGCCCTAGACCCTGTCAGCTAGTGGCCCAGCACCTCTCCCTGCTTCACAAGACCATGAACCCCAGAACCATGGCCACGACTCACCTTAAGGCAGTTGTAGCCAATGATGCAGAGAAAGGCCACCAACGTATGGAGTAGGCTCAAGCAACGCAAGGCAGGCTCCATGTAGCCCGTGCTCTCCTCCAGGAAGTAGTACACCATGTTCTCGTCCTCGTCACCCTCCGCCTCCTCGCCGGCCCCCGAGCCCCAGCCAGAGCCGCCGCCAGACCCTGCACCTGACAGGTCCCCAGCTGCTGAGCCCTCCATGTCGTCCTCCCCTGGTGGAGAGTCTGAGACCTGAAGCGGGGGAGAGGTCGGTCAGGGCGGGGACCCTGGTGTCCTGACACCTGCTCTGCCCCACCCAGAGCCCACTGACCAGACGAACAGCCCCCCGTGGTCGTTGGGGGGGGGGTGGGGGGGCCCTGTCGGAGACAATCTCGTTAGAGCTGCCAATCAAGATGGAGGGTGGGTCCAGAACCCTGGCTAGTAAATCAGAGTCTGTCTCCCATTTTACAGAGGAGGATATTGAAGCACAGCGAGGTTAAGCACCTTGCCTCACGTGATGCCACCAGTGAGTGCTAGAGCCAGGATTGTATCCCACAGAAGCCACTCTGCAAGACTGCTTCTCTGTCCTGTTATCTAGATCCCTGGCAAGACCCCAAAGGGTCCTTTTGTCCTTTAGGAGGCCTGGTTCTCAGCCCTTTCCTTCCATTCCCTGAGCTGCCCATTTCCTCCTTCCCGCAAATTTCCCTTTAACTTACGAGAAAGCAAAAAAGCTTAACGGAATCAGTGCATGTTGCTGAGAGGCGAAGGTGTGTGCCCAGGGGCACAAGACTGGCACGTGGCAGAGCTGAGCATGGAACTCCAAGCCGGTTCCCTGCTCTGCCATACGCAGTCAGGCGTCTGTCCCAGATGCGCCCAGATACCCACGCACACTGCCATGCGGGTCCCAAGATCCAGATGTCCAGGCAGAACCCACCTCGGAACCCCCAATCCCACACCTTGTCCCTTCACTGCGGGGGCCCTGGGAACCTGGTAGGGGCAGAGTCACCCCCCTCCCCCAGCCCAGGTAAGCGTCTGATTCTCCCGACCCCTCGTGACGAGCACCTTATAAAACAGCAAGATGAAGTTGATGGCGAATGCCAAGAAGAGGGCAAGGAATCGCAGGGTGTAGAAGTTCCGGGAGAGGTAGTTCTAAGATGAGGAGAGAAAGAGAAAGAGCTCACGCTCCACTTTATTCCCTGGAGAATTCACCCCATCATCCACCCCCAATCCGAAATCTGCTCTCACAACCTCCTAGTCATTGAGTGCTTACTGTATACCAAGACCTGTGCTAAGAGCTTTATACGCATGAAACTTGTGTAGCTCTTACCACACCCCTAATGGAGTGAGCACAGCAGATATACCCATTTCACAGATGAGAACACCGGGACTCAGGGAGGCAAGATGTCTTGCTCAAGACCACACAGCCAAGAAGCAGCAGACCTGGGGTTTGAGGCCAGGCACTCAAGCTCCAGAGTCCACACTCCCAACTTCTCTGCTATGCTGCTTCCTGTGTGAGGCCCCCCTGTCTTTACCCCAGGCAGAGGGCAGCTACTTCTCTCTCTCCCTCCCTCTTTTTCTCTCCATCGTTCTTCCTGTTCCTCGTTCTTCCCATGCATCCTCACTGGACCACCTTCCTTCCAACATGTTTCCTTCAGCCCCTCAGGTCAGGTTGGGCCTGGAGAGGAGGCGGGACAGGCAGAGCCCTGAGCCCTGTCCTCCCAAACTCCCTCTCTTCTTCCTGGCCTGGATGAGGAGATGAGTTCTGCCCCCCACCCCCCCCCACCCCGAACAGGAGTGGCTGGGACTGGTGTGGTGGCTCTGACCTGAAGGCCAAGGGCCAAGAAACAGGTCATGGTGGGAGGAACGGAACCATGGCCTTGGCTGAATTTAGCTCTGGATGGCAGATGGGGGTGGGAAGCCTAGGCAGGGCGCCCCAGATGAGCAAAGTGTGGAGGTTGGAATAAAGATCTTGAACAGGGAGAGGCCGAGGAGCCAAGCCAAGCCACATGACGTGCTGTCCCGTCACCAGGTCCTGACGCTGTCTGGGGACATCTCTGCCCTCAAGCCAGCCTGGCTGCTTCTGAGAGATGAGCCTGGCACGGGTGAGGGTGGGGACGGGAGGTGGGGGGGGGGGGAGTGTCAGCAAACCCTTGCCGGGTCCTCACCAAGAACTTCACCCTCTGCACTTCCAGTTCTCCCCAGAATTCCAAACCCCCGCCTCCAGCCTCCTCCTTCTTTGGAGGGGGTGGAGAAGGTGCTGTCTTCTTGGGGGGCTCTGGTGGGGGTTCGGGGACTTCTTCCTTCTCCCCATTCTCAGCACTGCAGGGCAGGACACAGAGAGAGTGAGGAGGGGCCTGGGAAATTCATTCATTCGTTCAAAGCCATGCACTGGGGACACAGTGATGGGTCACTGCCCTTCCACGGGGCTCAGTCCAATGGGGGTACAGACTGGTCACCAGGCAGCGGTGGCCCAGAATGGTCAGGGCCAGGATGGGGGAGGCTCGGGGTTTTGTGGGGGCCCAGAAACACCTCTTTGACTTGATGGTGGGGGATGTGTGTCAAGGCAAGCTTCCTGGAGGAGACACGCGAGCCAAAATGGAAACGAGGAGGAAAGCAGATGAACATGGGAGAAAGTGTTCCAGGCGGAGGGAACAGCCCACATGAAGACTTGGGGGCAAGACAGGAACACTCGCTTCCCCGCTCCCTTTCAGAGGCCCTCCTCTGGCCCTGGCCTGGGCTGGGTGATGCCGAGGACACGGTGCGACCTCAGGAGACTCCTGATCCAGGAGGGAAGCGGTGCTAGAGGGTGGGCCCCTTGGACTCCAAGGCCACTCACTCGGCTTTCTCAGGCTCCGGTTCCGGCTCCGGCTCGGGCTCTGGTTCTGGAGGCAGCTCCTCTTCCTCTCCATCCACCTGGCGGCGGGGCAAGCATCAGGGTGGAGCCCCCACCCCAAGTGCCTGTCAGAGCTGATCTGCCTGTTCCTGCCTGTGTCCCTTCCCGGTCATGTCCCCTCGACAATCTACGTTTTACTCTCCTCCCGTCAGAAGAGGGATTGAGTCTCATTTTCCAGAGGGGAAACTGAGGCTCAGAGAAGTGGACCGCCTTGTCAAAGCACTGTGCAGAGTCGGCCTGACTCCAAGTGGAGCTCTGGTTCCCCAGGGCTTCCCATCCCCCTGACACCCACCCCCATGGCGCTCTTGGCGGAGGGCCTGAGGATGTGGGCTACATAAGCCCTCACAACCGTCTGTCTCTGTCTGAGGGGCTTTCCCAGTGTCCCTGACCCTGTGCCGGGTTGTTCTAGTTCCTGGTCCCCGTTCCCCTCTAATTTGGCTTCTGGGTCTCTCCTCTCTCTAACTCCAGATATCTTTCTCTCTCCCAGAAATACTACTTGTTTCACTGCGAGCCTTTCTCCAAGTCTCCATCTGAGTCCACCTCTCCGTGTGCCTCTCTATCCCTTGTCTCTGCGTGCCTGTCTCTCAGGTTCTCTCTCCTCCCTCTGTCTCCGAGTCTCCCTCCCGGGCTCGTCCTCCCTCTCAGCCCCGATGTCTCCAAACCACCCCCGCCGCCCACCCCCGGGCCCGCCCCCCCCCCCCCGGGACCCCGCCGGCCTTCTCACCCCCAGCGTCCTCTTGATGATGGGGGAGCCCTCGGGCGTGGGAGGCTCCGCCGGCGTCGTGTCGCCCATGTCCCCGAGGCCGCCCGCCCCTTCGGGCCGGAAGGGGCCCCCCTCGGCCACGGCCACGGCCCCGTCGGCGCCTCCCGGGACCGCCTCGTGCGCCGCCGCCTCCTCGTCGCCCGCGCCCTCCGCCTCGTCGCCCGCGCCCTCGCCCGCGCCCTC